CCCAGGACACACTTTGAGACAGGAAGACGTCTATTACCCATTGAACCCACGCCGGGGCACCCTGAGAGAGCAGGGGCTACCACCACCTCTGCTCCAAGGTCTGCGGAACCTGAGCACCAGGCACCCCTCATCCAGCAAGGCCTCGGGACAGGGTGAAAGCAGGGGCGTCAAGGCCAGGGTGGGACATTGGAGCCTGACCTTCCCGCACACCAGTCACTCCAGCACCTCTGAGGGGTGATCCAACAGGTAGCCTGAGCTGAGAAACTTGGGCCAGTCCGGCCGCAGCCGGAGGGAGCTGGCATGTAATGGTCAGCCCCTGTGACACCACAACCCTGCCCCCCGCAGGCAGCCATGTCAGAGCAGGGGTGACACACACAGACGGGTTCCTGAACAGTGTCCCCCAAATCCGGTGGGAAGCAAGCCAGCATTCTCAGCGCGTACCAGCACCCCCCAGGCCTGGGGTTGGCAGGCTCCCCACCCGCCAGGCAAAAGCTCCAGAAGCTGCCCCATCACAAGCACCAGACGGAGACCCAGCCAGCTCCTCCGCCAAGCATGGAGCCACCCCAGAGCCTTGCAGGTCTCGTGCCATTAAGGGGAAGTGAGTCACCAGAGGACCGTAAGATACAGGGTCCCCACTTCTCTGCAAGCCCCTCTGCCAAAGGAGGGGCGCCATCAGAGCAGCACTCCCACCCCTGGGGGCCCGCCATCTTTCTTACCTTTGGGCCTGGGGGCGTGGGGTTTGGTGCTGCCGGGTAACCAGGGCACTGCCCCAGACAGGTCCCCCGGAGCCGCTCCTACAACAGCCGGCTGCTGCCGGGGGCCCTGGGAAGGACGGCCCCCCGGGGAAGCTGTGATCCGACTCGGTCTCGGTGGCCAGCGAGGAAGCGGAGTTCCCCATGGCCCCCGTGACGGCAGCCGCACCGAGAGCTGGGCCTGGTCACATGCGGCCAGAGCATGGAGAGAGGTGAGCACCCACACAGGAGTCAGGGTGGCCGGCTGGTCAAAGTCACACAACAAAAATAAACAGAGAGAATAAAGAGAAAGAGAAGAAACAGCATGACTCACGGGAACAAAGCCCCCAGGAACTCTGGGAGGGTCCCCCAGTGCAAGTGGCCTTGAGGCAGGAAGGGACAGCCATGGAGCAGGAGCTGAGGGCCTGCGCCTGACCCAGCAGTAGGCACCCTGCAGCACCCACTCCAGGTTCCTCCACAGCCGAGGCCCCCAAAGGGCTGAGGTACAGGCATCGACAGAGCTGTACCCCCAACACGAGGTGCACTGGGGCCAGGAGCAGGGCTGCAGGCGCTCAGCCCCTGCCCCGCCTGCCCCATAACCAGCACCCCTTCTCTGCTCTTGAAAACCCCTATCAGCCCATCAGCTGCCCAGAGGGAAGGATGAGGGTGCCACCAGCCACTGGTCTTCAAAGAGAGTTATCTTCAGTGAGAAGAGAAATGACACAATTTTGCTTTACTGTGGAGGAAAGAATCGGGATATTTAACCAAAGGAAGAGGAAAAACAAGGGAGGTGAGCACAGTGGAGCTGGTGCAGCCCTCAAAGCCAGGCAAAGACCTGCACAACACTGTCTACCCACCACCCTTCTGAAGCCTCCTGAAGGAGACCGCCCTGACCCAGGGAAAGGTCAGGGCCCAAGAGGAGATGAGTGACTCGAGAGGCACTGGGAGGCTGGCCAGGCCTCCAGTGGGAGCCCATCTACACTGCAGGGGAGGCCCTACCTCCACTGGCCAAGAGGAGGAATGAAACACCGTCCAAGAGCATCCACCATGAGATAGAGGTGGCACATCTACTTTCAAACGAGGCATCACAGTCAGGTTAGGGAAGATGCCACCCAGCCTCCCCTCACCCACTCAGCCAGGCTCTGGGCCAAGGTGGGCATCTGCTTGGCTTTCCAGCTGTGCAGGTGACCACCAGCATAGCCCCATCCCTAGGTCCCCTGTTACCACTGACACCCTTCTCCCAGCTCCCAAATAAGCACCATGGTAATGGGGCCAGGGGCTGGAGTGAACCTGGGGATGCATCCTTGTGGCGCAGGCCTAGGGTTTGTGGGTGGGACTGTGCAGGACTCCCTACACTGGAGTGAGCAGCAGCACACACAGTTCTGGGAACCAGCAGGGGCCAAGCACCATGGATGGTAGAAGCCTGTGACCCCTACCCCGTAAGACGGGCCGAGGACCCCTGCAGCAGTAACGTTCGCCCAGATGCCTTTTCTCCAGGGGACATGGGTGGACAGAGCAGCACCAGCCCTGATCGGCCTGGTGGCCCCACAAGTCACCTGACACTCAGGCCTTCGACACAATTACAGCTGAGCAGTGTGGCAGAGACCCGTGGTGGTCCACAAAGCTGGCACTAGCCCCGCCTGGCCCCAGGATTGTCTGCTGGCTCCAGTCTCCAGGAACACGGTCCAGTAGGAGCACTACGCAAGCCACAGAAGTTGTTTCCAATTCACCAGCAGTCACGTAAGAAAGGTACCACAGACAGGTTATGGGAATCTTGGTAACGTACCTCACATAATCCAACACATGAAAACGTCACCGCGTCAGTATGAGACCGGGGAGGCCACGCGGGAGTCCCGTGACACCATCCTGGGTCAAGGTCTTTGGACTCGCTCTACTGTGGTCCATGCTCATCTCTGCAGGGACGAGCCACGCATGCCGGGAGCTTCCGTACTGGAGAGCATTAAGCAGGCACAGAGCACACCACCCGGGGTCAGTTCCACATCAACCTGGGCCACTCAAATCACCAGCCTCTCTCATGCTTACACGTCGGGCATCTGAATGAGAATGGCCCCCACTCCACACAGGAGCCCCTTGAGGAAAGAGGGCCCGGGTGTTTCTGGCACTCCCCTTTCGCAGCTAACCTGAACAGGTGAATAGAGAGAGGGGAGGAGAAGACAGGTGAGGCTTGAATTAGGGCCATGCCCAGCAGAGGTGCCATGGAGCAGAACTGCTCACGTCTGGGTCCAGGGCTGGTCTGTCCCTGATCAAGAGCTTGGCCTATTTCCACTGGGAGAACAGAGGGCTAGGCAGTGTGGGGAAGCCTGGCCTAAGAACGCCAAAACCATGGTGGGGGACAGGGTCCACAGTGCCAACACCTGGGTCATGCCCCCGGTGACAGAGCCAAAGGGACAGCCAGCCCCAACGCAGAGTGAGGATGTGGCCCTGGGCCTCCCAGGGACAAGTGTGGGGCCACAGGCGCCGGGCTCTGCCTGGAGGAAGGAGCAACAAGGTCCTGTGCGGGCTGATGTGCTGCCCAAAGGGCAAGCTCCCAGAGGACCCACTGCTCTTCAGCAGTGCCCTTGACAGCAGGGTGGTGAGAGCTCAGGCCGGTCAGACAGCTGGGTGTGTGCTGGTCCCCCAACCCTGCAGTGAAAGCGAGAGGCACCTGGGCAAGGCCAGCTCCCCGACAGGCCTTTAGGAAACGCTGACCCTGCAGACCCATCTGGGGCAGGTGGGAGGCCTGAGGGGTGGGCTATGTGGCAGTTGCCAGATTGCTCCTTGGAGGGGCAGCAAAGGCCCTTCACTGGGGGCTTGAGGAGGACAGAGGCGGCCTGGAAAGTCCCCCAGAGAGAGCTGGTTCCAGAAGGGCCTCTCTGGGGATGACAGTGCCCAACACCCACACCCTATCTTGACCCAAAGGGAGTGGGGAAGAGCTCCTGGGAGTGAGTCCAACAAAGGATCGCCCTGGTTGGGCAAGGTACGTGGCCAGTGTGGGCTCTGCTAACCCGAGGGTCCCACCTGCATGGCAGTGACGTGGGAAACTCTGCCAGGGCAGGGTGGGTCTGTCCACAGCTGCTGACTCCTCAGAATAACCGGGGACGGGAGCTTTACAAACACTGTTGCCCAGGTACTGACCTTTGATACGGAACCCCAGGGCTACCTCAGAGCAGAACAGACCCTGCTCCCAGGTGACAAGCCTTCTCCTGCAGAACCTGCTCCTCCTCTCACCCCAGGTGAGAGTGTGGCGAGACCACCTGCCAGCCCTGCACTGGGTCCATTCTTTTATTCCTCCATGTGCTGTTTCCCAGGCCCTGTTTTAGGCCCTGGATACGGCAACACTCAGGAACTCTGCTGCAGGGTGCTCACTTGTTGGCTGCTGTGCCTTAAGAAGAGCATGATGTGTCACACATCTCCAGGCAGAAGCCAGAGAGCACAGGTGATGGCAGCACCAGCCTCCTGGATTGTGCAAAGGGACAGGACTCCGACAGGGCACCTCAGGAGGAGGAGCTCTCCCAGAGCCCCGCCCCCACCCGTCCTCCTGCCCTCACAGGACCGCTGCCCTAGACTGAAATGGGACGGAGGCCTACATCTGGCCTTGTTAGCATGAAGGTGGGGCTGCCCCCAGAGCACGGTGTTTGCTAATCCACAGGAGCTGACTGGTCTGTCCGCCAGCTCCGGGGCGAGGCATGTGCCTAACACGGTGCTCCAAGGACAGCTGGGCCCATCCACCAAGACGAGGATGGCTCTGCATGGGGTGTGCCTGTCCCAATCACGGCAGGTTGGATCCCAGTAACGAGAGCCCCTCACCTGCTCCCCACAGCGCTGGGGGCCCCTGAGGGTGCGTGCTGAGACTGCAGCATGTGAGGCAGGAAAGGGGCACTTCCCTGTGGGTGGCAGGTGAGTTGCTCTCCCCAAGTGAGTTTACCTGGCCCAGGGGTGGGGTGAGCAGACACCGGCAGCCGGCAGCCATGGGGGCCATAGAGGGGGAGGTGTGGGCCACAACCAGATCCCAGTGGAGAGGGATTGTGCCCTTGACCAAATGTGAACCTGGGACATTTCAGTCCACAGGCCGATGCTCTATCCACTAAGCCAAACCAGCTAAGGCAGAAGCATATTTTCACAATTTAATTTTGTTAATATGGATTTAGATTTAGTTTTATATTTACATGGGCCTTCATAATTATATTTCCACTTCAAAGGGCAGATACAGACTTTAGAAATGTCTCCTAAAATCTCAGTAAAATCTCAGAAGGTTTTAAAGGGTTGCATAGCAGGCAACTCAAATGGTTTAGAAGACAGTTGTTATGCAACAATTTGTATCATCTTGAATTTTTATCTATTCAACCGGCAGCCATGGGGGCCATAGAGGGGGAGGTGTGGGCCACAACCAGATCCCAGTGGAGAGGGATTGGGATTTACGCCCTGTTGTTCCAGCGCCCACTCCTGGGGCGTCCTGAGTCTGTGCCCCCTGGGCTAGCCTGTGCAGCGCAAGCCCCATTGCCTCATCCCCCAATCATGGTCCTTCGCCAACTGCAGCACCCTGACAGGCCACCGGAAATCAGCCCCGGACGGGGGCCCAGGAAGGGGACAGAGGGAGTGGTCCACCCAGGGGACACCAAGCCTTTCTGGAGCATTGGTGCTTGTGCCCAGGAAACCCATGGCCACCACCCACCATACCCAGAATTACACCCACCAGACGCGAAGCGAGAGCTTGTAGATCTGTCCCTGTGGCCTGAGGACGCTGCTACCGGGGCGGACACCGAGGACGGGAAGCTCTTGCCTGAGTGAGGGAGGCCTCCCCGTCCCTACCAGAAACCAGGCTGGGATCCCACCCCGGAGAGGGCCCCACCCCAGGGAGGGCCCAGACTTTGACCTCCCGGCTCCGGGGACTGGCAGGACAGCATTCTCCTGCTGCCACCTGCTTCCTCAAGTGAGTTAGCAGCTCACCCACATCGACAGCTCCCCTAGAGATGGAGGACAGTAGGGCAGAGTCAGGGGATGGGCCCTCTGGGACATGGCTGTTCCGTCTGGGGGAATACCAAGGGACGACAGACAGAGCCAGCAAAACAGGTCTGACTTGCGGTGTGCCCCTGAATGACAGGACCACAGCCCCAAACCTTAGATGCACAGCGCTTGCCAGGCCATGAGAACCAGGCTTTGTCGGGGCAGGGGGTTGGGCAGAGGGGTTCTGTGAATCAAGGGTTCTGCAGAGAGAGGGAGCACCCACACTGCACTCCAGCCCCACCATTCTACCACTGGTCCCATAGCCCAACTACCCCACAGCACTGGGAGGGGACTCACCCCCCACTGTGAGGCCTGAGCTCTCCCACGCCTGGGTCAGTGGCACAGTGAGCTTGCCAACAGCACATCCACCCGGAGGACATGCCCCTTCTCCTGGAAGGTTCTGTGAGAGAGAAACATTGATGGGTTGCCTCCTGTATGCATCCCAACCAGGGACCAAAACCGCAACCTGGGCATGTGCCCTGACCGGAATCAAACCAGTGACCTTTCAGAGCATGGGATGACACTCAACCCACTGAGCCACACCGGCCAGGGCAGGACTACATCCCTTTTGAAGCTCTATCAGTCCCTTACCCAGAAGAGGCCAGGGGTCGCAGGGGATTAACATGGTCAGCCAGCTCCTCAATGCCTAGTCCAAGGCCCTATCTCCGGGCCAACCAATGTGGCAGGTGGGGCTGTTCAAGGTCCCAGGGCCCAAGGGAACAGGGCCTCGCTTAGCTACCAGGGAAAGGTGTCCGCGTGGGACAGGGCCCTGGACAAGCAGCCAGGCACCCACTGAGATTCACCTGCACCCAGGGCCCGGCACCACCAGACGGCTTAACCTCTAACCACGGCTGCAGGCGGGGTGGCTCCAGCCTGTCCCCGTCCTGTCCTCCCTAGTGTGGTGCACGGGCCCAGAGGCCTGCCTTGCTGCAGCCTCCCCCACTCTCACTGTTGCCCTCAAACAGCAAGGACGGCCACTCCCCACCCGAAGGGCCTGCCACCACCAACAGTGCTGACGTTTGAGAGGTTCAGGAGTAAGAGCTGTGGGCTCCAAAAGTGTACCCACCACTTCCTGTGAGCAAACTTGGGAAGAAACACACCTGTCCCAAATACCTGCCCATCAGACTGGGATGTGCGGCCCAAACATGCTAAAGGGCAGTCACTCTTCTCTGTACGTCAAGCTCTTCAGTCCCTGAAGGTCCAGGCCACTGGCTCTAGGACAGGAGTCAGGGCTCCTCGCCATGTGCCCCCTCGCCCCCCGTTTCCTCGGCCCACGCCGAGCACCTCTGAGACACTACCTACTGACCCTGGTCACTGTGATGGACCAGTGACAGGTTAGATTTGCTCTACTTTCTGAGGCACCTGCTTTCTGGGGTGGGAGGAGACAGGCCTCTCAAAGTCAAAGGCACAAGGGAGGAGGCCGGAGGACACCCACACGGGATTGTGGGTCTGCCTCCCAGGAGGTGAAAGGGTCCCTGTGTGTCCTCCTGAATCTTTGGAGCCGTACACCACCTCAGTTGTGCATCATAAAGAAGGAAATTGTTTTTCATTCGGTTCTATCAGAGAAATGGGACACTCCCAGGATTTTAATTTCTAGTTCACAAGTCCAATCCTGGCTAAAGTTGAATACTTTATTTTTAGTGGGAAAAGAGAAGGTACCAGACAAGCACTCTTGTTTTTTGGCACTTCTAACACTTGTTTGCCAAGAGCTGGCAGCCCTGCTGGCACCCACCAGCCCAAACCGTTTCGGGGGGGCATGGAGCACTCGAGCCTTCAGCTCACCCCAAGGAAGGCAGATGGGGGGAGAGGCAGCCACCTCCAGAACGGCAGCGGCTCCAGAACCCGCTGCCTTTCCCGCGATGTGGCAGGAGCGCAGCATCAGGCAGGGGCAGAGGTCCGACCTAGAGACTTCATCTGCCCATGTGAACGTAATTCCCAAGGACAGCTTTTCAGAGAAGGGTGGATGTGAGCAGGGACTGGCCTGAGGAGAAACTGCCTCTGCTTCAGGTCTGGCTGTGATGACACCGGAGGAGCAGGAAGCCGCAATGGCTGCCTTCCTCTGGACGCAGATACACGTGACAATTCCAAGGAGCAGCTATTGACCAGCTTCCCTCCTGATATCTGAGCGCTGTCCAGGCACAACCCCCAGCCCCGCCACCAGGGAGGTGGGAAGCAGCCCTGTAAGCTCCCGGGACTTCAGAGAAGCCAAAGAGCAGGGCCTGGAGCTGCCGCCCGAGGGTGACAGTGTCTGCAGGACAGGAGGTCTGAGAGCAATGCAAGCGCACACTCTACTGTTTCCTGGGAACCACCGGTGCTGCTCCTGGACAAGTCCTTGCAGAGGGACAATACATCATTAGTGTCTAGAGTAGCCCTTCCTTTGGCATCAGGAGGCCCCACACTGCCCATCCTGGGGCCTCTGTGCTGGGCTAGGACACTTCTGTCCTCCCACAACCCCTGGCTCTCTGCACCCTGGCAACAGGCCATCTGCGGAGTCCCCACTCAGACCCCTCCAGGGAGGTGAACAGGATCACTGTGTGTCCTCTTCTGTCCTTGGAGCCGTATACCACCTCAGCTGCGCTTCATAAAAAAGGAAATTGTTTTTCATACAGTACTGCTGCCATGGCCCACAGTGACATGATGGGGTGTGGCTGGGCAGGTCCCCAAGCCTGAGAAGTGGAGGCAGCCCAGCCTTAATCTAGAGCCTCCGCGAAGCTCATTCAAAGAGGGTAGAGGCCAGTGAGTCTACTCCTCATCTCCAAAGAAGCCCTGGGGTGCCATTCTAGAAGCCCTAGGAGTTCCCTTTGGACTTCAGAGCCAGGGTGATTAGAGATGCCTGCTGGCAAGCAGCTCACAGGGGACACTCACTGACCATCTAGTGAGTGGAACAATGCTGGCAGCCAGGTGCGATGTCAGAGCCCAGTAGAGTGGGAAGAGGGGAAGAGAGAGAAGCTGTGTCTGTTCTGAGAGGTTTGGCAGAAGAGATTCAGTGAGAAACGAGATTATGTTACTGCTGTGAGACAGTCCCATGAGTGCTGATGCTGAACAATGGGCACAGATGGAACCAGAGAAATAGGTAGTGAGGACGTGCCGGGCAGTCCAGGCAACACAGGGGAGAGAAGAGAAGCTGGCTGAGCCAAGAGCCCCCTCAGAGTCCTGGGGGCATGGGGTGTCCTTGCTCAGGATCTGGGTGTGAACTTTTTATTTTTATTTTTTTTAAATATATTTTATTGATTTTTTACAGAGAGGAAGGGAGAGAGGTAGAGAGTTAGAAACATCGATGAGAAAGAAACATCGATCAGCTGCCTCCTGCACATCTCCTACTGGGGATGTGCCCGCAACCCAGATACATGCCCTTGACTGGAATCGAACCTGGGACCTTTCAGTCCGCAGGCCGACGCTCTACCCACTGAGCCAAACCGGTTTTGGCTGGGTGTGAACTTTTAATGTCAGATGAAGAAACCACCCAACCCAGAAAACCCACCCCACCAACTCAAACCATTTCCATTTAATCATGCCGCCTGCCTTGCCAGCACCCTTCTGTGCCTGGGGTAGTGGTGAGCAGTGTGCAGAGGGCCAAACCAGAGGCTGCTCTATCCCAAAAGGCCATGACTGTGGGGAGTTGGCCCCACCAGGCTCTTCACTGACCAGCTGGGACTCATGAATGACATCTTGGTTTGGGGCATTTTTAGGGCTGCTCCTCAGTGAAATGGGGTTTACTAGGCGCTGCCTATGAGACAGGCCTGGAGAGCTTGGTGCAGAGGAGTGCGAGGGGCTTCAGTAAATGTTACCACTGTCCAGCCAGCCAGGTCTGGCCTCTCAGGTGAAGGGCAGAGAAACTCGGAGCTTCCAGCACGACGGGGATAGGGAGGGTCCTATGCGGATGCTCAGGTCTGGGGGGCTCAAAGCAGACACAAGATCAGATGGGTCCCTGCCTATAGCCCTGCAGCCACTAAGCCTTGGGCCCAGCGGAGCTTAAACCTGTTTCTCAGAAGGTCATGAGGTCATGGGCCTGTCTGCTTAGGAAAAGCAGCTCCAGAAATTTTCAGATGCGGAGGGGAAGGAGGAGAGGAGTGCCCGTCCTGGGAGCAGACCAACCGGGGAGGAAGTAAGATGTGCCCATCCCCAAGGCTGGGCTGCACCGGCTTCCTGCAACACCACCAGCCAGGCCACAGGGCCCAGGTGCAGGCTCCCCTGACCCTGAGGCCCTCCAGTCACCTGGACCAGGAAACACTATCTCCCTCTCTTCACATCTGAGAAAGTCACTCAGAGAGGAAGGATGGAATTACCCCACCGTCTGCCCAGCGTCTGGGGGCTGGAGATAATCACTCTCCACACCTAAGGGACACGCACAGCCATCCAGACCTGGGCAGAGGGAGGATTCCAGGGATCCCCAGAGGAGGAGTTCTTGGGAAGAGCCCAGACCCAGTTCAGCACCGAGCTGGGCCATTTCCCCCAAGTTGCAGGACCCCAAGCTCCCTGGCCTGGTTACATGGAATTTCTGTTGCCTGCAGCCTGGTCCCTGAAAGCCATCCAGTCAGGGCCACGCGATCACACAACAGGGGTTCACTCCTCAGGACCAGAAGGGCCCCTTTGTGGCCAACAGGAAGAACCGGATCCGCCCCGCAAACATTCTCAGGGATTATCCTTTGTAACTTCCTCGTGTCGCCCCAGCGCCAGGCCAGAGGGGAACAGGGAAGAGGAAGCGTGGGGTGGTCAGTGGGCACACAGGACGCGCCTGCGCACCCCTCCCCCCATTCCATGGGGCCACCCCCAGGCAGTGTCCAGAGTCCTTCAGTGGAGAGGGCTGCGGGCACTACGAGACACATCACATCCCCTAATGCAGCCGAACCAGGACGTTGCCTGGAAGTTAAGGGCACTCAAGGGCAGGCAGGGGCTGAGGCCGCCGTCTGTGTCCGCAAAATCCTGGGGCTGGCTTCCCAGGGACTAAGATGACCCGGCCCCCTTCTCCCCTCTCCAAGCAGTGAACCCATCCCTGCCCGGACTCTGTCTAATGCCCAGGAGGCGCCAGTGAAGCAGCAGGTTGACCTTCGCTCCGAGGCCGGCAGCCCTGGCGCTGAGAAGCGCTGCCCACCAGGCCCGGGCTCCGGCGAGGGTCCAGGCCGCGCCCGTGGCCCGGTTGGCCGGACTCACCTCTGCAACCCGGCGGCGCCTCCTCCGTCCGTGCGGCCTGGGCGAAAGGGCCCCCGGCCCGCTCGCCCCTGCCGACTGACTTACAACTTCTGCCACTGGCCGCCCTGCCCCGCCGGCCTGCCGCGCTGAGTGGAGGAGCCGCCAAAGCGCCCAGACCCTGCTGGACACGGCCCGCGTCCGGAGCCTAGCCTACGCCGCCTCCGTAGCGTAGCGCCCGGCCCGGGCCCCGCGGCTACGGCGCGCCCGGGGCGCACGCGGCGCTGTGAATCGCGCGCCGGGACTACTGTTCCCACCGGGCAGCGCGGCGCCGCCAGGCAGAAAGCTCGGGGCGGTGCCGGGGGCGCGAGGCAATCCGGGAGTTGTAGTCCTCGGGGTGGCGGCCTCTGCGGCCCCAGCTAGCGCCCTCCAGGCGCAAGCCGACTTTCTGGGCCTCTCCACCCACCACCGCCACTGGAGATGGCTGAGCCCCGGGCATCTGGGAGCACTGCGTGCCGAGTTTATCGAGGAGTAGCAAGGAGATGAGCTGAGTATGAGACTGGGACTACAGCTCCCAGGATGCCCTGCGCCGGAGGAAGAGACGGGGCCTCAGTATCCGACTCAGCCTAAGCGCATCCGCCTGCGCCTTGCAGGTAGAAGCATGGGGCTGCGGCTGCCGACTGCAGGCGGGCTCCCCGTACCAGCACCCAGCTCCGCTCTGGCCCTACGAGTCCACGGGCCTCTTCAGTCCCTACCCCACCCGTCCGCTACCTCGAACCGTCTCTGCAACTTCTCCGTTCTTCGGTTCCTCTCTAGGGCTTCACGGTCAAATGCTCCAGTTTCGGTGAGACCGACCTGGCTCTAAGACACGGCCTTGGCACTTAGAGTGTGACCATGTGTGGCTGTGGAATCACTTAGGGGGCAACTTCTCTGCGCCTGTTTCCTCCTCCTTAAGAGAGGGAAACTAATAACTAATTGGACCATTGGGAGGACGATTTGAGATACCACCACCGAGCAAGTAGCCCAGTGCCTGGCCGGAAGGAAGTCCTGAGGCGTGGGAAGCTGGTGTTACTCCGTAGGGACAGAACCCGCCCCCTGCACAAGGGGAGCCTCCTCAGGCTCAGTTTCCCTTAAAGTTCCGTGTGGACCTCTGAGGTCACTCACACCCCCAGCTGCCAGGAAATTGGAGCCCTTCTGCCATCTGTTGCCTAGATGCCCTGGAGGCAGCAGGACATGCAGGAAAACTGAGTCAACAGTTTAGCAGACGCAACTGAGAGGCAGCAGTGGGAAGTGGAGATGCAGAGCCCCAAGGACTCTGGCGCTCAGGGACAGACACATGGGGTTCATGGGAAGGCACTGGCCATGCAGAAGGAGATACGGAAGCAAAGCCCATCAGTTAAGATTCAGGGAGTGTTTGGTTGTGGTTCAATTCTGCCTCAAGATGGACTGGAGTTTGACAAATAGGAGGTTGGGTAGTGTTTGCTCCAGTGCCCATAAAGGGTAAGCTGACCTCAGGAGGACCTTGGTGGACAGGGGTCTGCTCCTGGGAGAACATTCCAGCCCCAGGGAAACTTCCGTCTTACCCTCCAGATGCCGCAGTGTTCCGATGTAGACTGGGGCCTCAGCTGCAACCAAGGTAGAGCTGCTTCTTCAAGGCTCCAAGGTAACCAGCTGCCTGCAGCACTGAGCCGTAGAGTGACTCAGCCCACCCCCAGCTTACTTT